TTGTTTTTTTCTGTTAATATCTTGAAAACTTCGATCAGGTTACTCCTTCACCTTCTAAATTCTGGAGAAATCAGGCCAAAGTTGTAACAACCTCAGAATTTAATCCCTGAAGTCCAGGTATCATTCCTGGAAACCTACATTGTACTCCCTCCAAAGACAATATATCCTTCCAAAGGTGTGGTGCCCGGATCTGCTCACGGCACTCCGAGTGGGGTCTAACTGAGGCTTTGTGTAACTGCATCATTACTTCAGCACCCTGTGCTCCAGCCTTCTAGATATAAAGGCCAGCATTCCATTAGCTTTCTTGATTATTTTCTACACTTGTTTGTGACATTTTAAAGATCTTGCACCTGAACCCCCAATTCTCTTTGGATATCCACTGCATTTAGCTTCATATCATCTAGAAAGTTCCCTGATCTATCCTTTCTTTGGTCCAAAATGGATAAGCTCACACTTGCTTTCACTAAATTCCATCTGCCACAGTTTTGCCCATTCACTTAACATAAAATTACAAAGGAATATTTATAGGCTATCATTTACACTGTCTAAAATGCCGCCTAACTTTGTGTCATAAGCAAGTTTGGATACATGACGTTCTACGTCATTTTGCAAGTCACTAATAAATAATGAGAGTAACTGAGGCCCTAAAACAGATCCTTGAGGGTTATCACTGGTCAAATGTCTGCCAGTTTGAGTACCCTACTTTCTGTTGCCTGCCGCTCAGCCTGTTTCTCAGCCAGTTTCCATGTCAGTAATTTGCCCTCAACTCCACGGGCTTCTTTTACCCAACATAAAAGTCTCTTATGTGGGATCAAATGCCTTCTGGAAGTCCACATAAATAACATCCAGTGACTCTCCACTGCCTTAATCACCTCTTCCAAAAATTCAATGAGGTTTGTCAGGCATGGCCTACCTGTCATCTAAACATGCTGGCTCACCCTGATTAATTGGAAATTTTCAGAGTGCTCAGTTACCCCACCCTTGATTATAGACTCCAACACTATCTAACTAGTCTAACTAGTCTGTAATTCCTTGATTTTCCTCTTTTTCTTCCTTCTTAAAAAGTGGAGTGACATGCAATTTTCCAATATAGAGGGATGACTCTCGAATCGAAGGATCTCTGAAAGAGTATAGTTAGGGCATCCACAATGTGCTCCCCTTCTTCCTTTAATACCCTCTGATAATTTACTTAGGTAAATTTTATGCAGTCCCTGTTCCCAATGCATAATTAATTTCCTTGGGACTTCCAGTAAGCTCTCCCCTTTTCTACTGTAAATGCTAAGTCAACGTAATTATACAACATATCTACGAATTCCCCACAGTCATTGGCAATATTCCCACTTACACTCTTTAGTGGGCTAACATTGCTCCTGATCACCCACTTTCCCTTTATGTAACCATAAAATATCTTCTTATTGATTTTGATGTCCCCATCAAGTTTTCTTTCATAATCCCTTTTAATAGTTATTATAAGTCGCTTTGTGGTCCTTTGCTGGACTTTGTATCTTTCTGTGCTGTTTTTTGCATTTTTATAAGCCCTTGCTGTTAGTTTTATGCTGTTTCTTATCTCTTTAATAAAGTGGCTTTGGATTTTTTTTTGTGAAGTGGAGCTTTTCCCTCTCAGCGGTATAAATTAGTTTAGTATTGTGTTAAATGTTTCTTTAAACATCCTCCACTGTTCTTCAGTTGTTTTACCCATTAGCAGACTATGTACAGTCTCTGTCTCATCTCATTAAAGTCAGCCTAACGTCAAGCTAAAAGTCTAGTACCTGATTCAAACTCTTCACTTTCAAGCACTACACTGAACTCGATCACGTTAAGATCATGATGTGATAAATGTTCATACACAACTAGGTTACTAATTAAATCTGGCTCATTACTCATTACTAAATCCAGCACTGGTTGTCCCCTTGTTGCATCCAGGAAATACTGTTGTAGGAAACTATCCCGAACATACTCCACAAATTCACTGCCTTTCAGGCGGGTGGTTGTCTGCTTCTCCCAATCTATGTTGAAATTAAAATCCCTCATTGATATTCCTTTGGATTTGCTGCACATTTGCCTGATTTCTGCATTTATACAATCTAGCACTTCAGGGCTGCTACCAGAGGGTCTGAACACAACACCTGTCACAATATTAGATCCTTTACTGTTCCTCAGTCTCTACTGAATGCTTTCCCCAAATTATATCTGCTCTCATCACTGAAGCAATTTTGTTTCTAATTTGTAAGGCTACTCCACCTCCTCTGCCATTTGCCCCTCTTGGCATTCAGTAAGAATTGTAAAAGGATGGAATGGAGCTCATTAGGGACTAAAAAGGGGACATAAGCACGGAAGGAGTTAGGAAACCTGAAATACTAAATTAGTACTTGGCATCATTTACCAAAAAGAAGTGCTGGCCAAATTGTCATGAAAACGGCTAAAGGTGAGATACTGACAATGAGGGTGTACTAGATAGACAGTCAGTAATTAAAGTTGATAAGTCACTAGGATCAGATCAAATGTCTCCAGGAATTTTGAGGAAAGCATGTGTGGAACTGATGAGGCACTGACCACAATTTTCCAAACCTCCCTTTTACCTGAACTTGGATGCCAGGTTTTTAAGATTCATGGATGAGAACTCTTGAATCCCTATGTTCTGTAGCTTCCTGCAATCTTTCTCTATTTAAATAAATATTCAGCTCCTCTATTTTTCCTGTCAAAGTGTATAACCTGTCATTTCCCCACATAATTTCCATCTGCCCAGTTTTTGCTCACTCGACTTGTCTATATCCTTCTGCAGACGATGCGTCATTCTCACCACTTGCCTTCCCGCCAATTTTTGTGTCATCTACAAACTTGGCTACAGTACATTCATTTTCTTTATCCACTCACAGAGTTCCATTCCTACCAAGTCAATTATGTCCAAAGAATCACTTGCAATAGCTGCTTTTCCCACTTGTGCATCTTTACCTCTTGTGTCACCAATGACCAATCTTTGGCTTTCTCATACTTTTCATCCAAATGCTGTCCTTCGGTAACGTCATGGTTTCCTCACATATACGGATGACACCCAGACCTACTTCTCCACAACATCCCTCAATTCCTTCAATGTTGCTGCTTCTTTGAGCAGAAATTTCCTCCAATTACGTACTGGGAAGACTGAAGCCATGTTTTCAATCCCTGCAACAAAACCCAGACCTTCGACTGCATCTTTCTTCCCAAGAAACCATGGGACATTAGACTAGTCTGTTCACAAATCTGTTGCCAAATTTGACCAAGGTTAACTTCCAACCGTATATTTGTGCCACCATTACTTCCAGCTCTGTAACATCATCCAATTTAGCCACCTTTCAGCTCATCAAATTCTGGAACTCTTGTTTATACCTTTGTTATTTTGGGTTTGATTAATCCAATGCACTCCTGGTTGGTCTTCCACATTCTATCCTGTGAAAATCTGAGGTCATCCAAAATGCTACAAACTTTGCCTTAATTCACATTTACCTGTGACTCCTGTATTTAGTGACCTACGCTCCCATTCAAACAATATCATCACTTAAAAATTATTGTCCTTGTTTTCAAAATCCTCCATGACCCACTACTTCTTGTCTTCTTCTCCAGTCATACAATCTGCTAATATATCTGCATATTTCTCATTCTGACACTTGCAGCATCTCTTATTTTAATCATTCCACCCTTGATTGGCACTCTATTAATGCCCTCTTTCAGGGAATCCAAACATTTTCTGATTAACATTGCTGTTGAGAGGCTCATGGTTTTTCAAAAAAACTGTTCAAAAAATTCCTACTACTTCTACTGATACAGGGACCAAACCTGGAGTTTGAGAAAGTTATGTTACACACACATTTGAAGCAAAAGTGCAGGGATCTAAAGCTGCCTCACAGCTGTTCAACGGTACCCATTGTTGCCCTGAAGCCTGTGAGCCCACTAAAAGATTTTCTTTATATCCTCTGCCTCTCTTCTCTCCTGCATTCCTCTAATCCTCACTTGGAGTCATAACTCCTACATTGGGAGGTTCTGTGTTATGCTCTGGAATTCTCCCAAAGGTCCTCTGCCACTCTTTCTTCCTTTCAGATAATTTCTTAAAATCTAGCTCTTCATTTGACCTAATATCTGATATGGCTCAATGTTATATTTTGTTTGATAATGCTCTTGTGAAATGCTTTTTAAACTTTTTTTTTACACTAAAGATGCCTCTTGTTCAGTAGCAGAAGAAGCAAAACCAACATGAGAAAATCTTTTTATTTTAGCACAAGTGGTTAGTATCAGGAATAGAACTCCTGAGCGAATGAAGGCAGATTCAATTATGGCTTTCAAAAAGAAACTCAATAAATATTTGAAGATAAAAGGTAATTACTGGTTTATGGGAAAAGGGCAAGTAGGTGGGACTAGCTGAATTGTACTATCAAAGGTCCAGAACAGAGTCAGTGGGCCACATAGCCTCCATCTGTGTTGTAACTAGTCAATGATTCTATAGTGTGTGTTGGAGGATATCATTACATTGAGAAGGCCCTAAATTTACTTCTTTGAACCGCTGCAGTCTATTTAGTGTAGTTACACTTACAATGCTGTTGGAGAGAGTTCCAGGATAGTGACGTTGCACAGAAGGGCCGGTGATGTATTTCCAAGTCAGGATGGTGCATGGCGTGGAGTGGATTAATGCCCATTTGCCATTTCCCAGGTAACTGCTGTCTGTGTCTGTCTAGAGGCAGTGATCATGGGTTTGGAAGGTGCTGCCGAAGAAGTCTGAATGAATTTCTCTGAAGCATCTTGCACAAAGTGCACACTGCAGCTATGGCGCATTGGTGGTGGAGGGACTCAACATTTGTGAATGTGATGCCAATCAAGTGGCTGCTTGACTTGGTTGATGTCAAGCTTCTTGATTTTTGTTGGAGCTGCACTCATCCAGGCAAATACTGTATTATAGCAGATGCTAAAAATGCAGCTGTAAGTGAGGAGCATACAGATTCATATCGCATAGCAAAAAAAACTACACTTACCAGTTAGTAGTATATGTGAATCCTATGAATGGAAGGTGGTGCCCAGAGAAAGCCGTATGTGTAGGTGGAGGCATCGTCTCCTAAAATAGAATTAAAGGCACGTTTTACTGACTTGTTTCTTTTCTTATACTTATGATAGGTTTAAAAACCTATCTAAACTAATGATGGCTTCTGTGTCCTTTCCTCACTGATAACGTGTACCATTCACTAAATAATTACCTCCTGCTGATGTAATCTTGTCTCAACAAGGAAGGATCATGAGAGAATCCTTAACACCATGAAGCACTAGTTTCCACTCCTTTCCACCAGTTTTACTTTATTAGTAACTTTCTCTTCACAGAGCACTTCACAGAAAATATTAAATCATATCACAAATTTCTTATTCTTAGGGCTTTGCAATGCCATAACATTTGTTACGTTGACCGTAAGAACTATGCTTTTTCCAGTGATTCTTGCCTCCAGTAAACATCATTTTGTAAAATTCCTACCTGTCTACATCTATCTTGACCTAATCCAAAATAGCAAAGTTTTATTTGCAATAAGACACAACTTGAAGGATGACATGTGTACAAGCAACATGAAGAAAATAATTAAGAAAGGTGAGAGAATATATTTCAAAACAAAATATCAAAAAGATTCTGGCTTCACATTAGGATCATAATTCATTTTAACTTCAACCCAATTACCATGTTGATGCAAATCCTATCCCTCAGTACATTCTCCAGAAAGTTTAAACTAGTGATGGATTGAACAATTTCGTAGATTTCATGCTGGAACCTATACTGTGCAAACATGTCTTCTCCTCATAAATTTGATGAATAAACTCTTTGGCACTTAGACAAAATGCTGTATACACAGTTAAGCACTTCCAACGTAACATACACTTTACATAAACTGAGTCAACCTTCCATTTTATTGTTTAATCCCAGTTTCGTGATTGCCTATATTATTCTCAAACAAACCAAAATTTATCAGGTAACATGGACATACAAGATTCTTACGGGACTTGACAGGATAGATGTGGAAAGGTTGTTTCCCGCTGTGGGAGAGTCTAGGACCAGAGGGAATAATCTCAGAACAATGGGTTGCACATTTAAGATATAGGTGAGGAAGTATTTCCTCTCTCAGAGGGTAATGAATCTATGGAATTCTTTACTGCAGAGGATTTTCAAGGCTGGGTCATTATGTATAATCAAGGTTGAGATAGACAGATTTTAAATCTGTAAGATAATCAAGGATTACGGGGAAAAGGGAGGAAAGTAAAGTTGAAGATTATCAGATCAGCCATGATCTCACTGAATGGCAAAGCAAACTCGGTGGTTGAATGACCTATTTCTGCTCCTACATTCTATAGCCTTTTACGAACTAACGTTAACTGGAATATTGTTGAGGGGGTGAATAATCCAAAAATATAGAACCTGCATTTAAGAAGCTGACAGGACAGATACAAAGAAGGATATTTCAAATAATACGAGGAAAACAATTAAAATGATGTCAGACAGAAGTTCTTGAAGAGCTGAAAAGAGATAACATGTCTTTTTCTGCTCCGATGCTGACTGACATGCTGTGTCCTGCTAACATTCTATTTTTATTTCAGAACTGCAGCATTTTCTTTTTATCTCTACAGAATTACTAATGAATGATTTTTTTGTTAAATCCTGCTGGTTTAATGAAAGATCAACTGTCTAAGATATGGCTTCACCTTAGAGGCACCTAGAATTACATCCTCTTCTAAACTAAATTCCTCTTCTTCAAACTCATACATATGAAGTAACTTACAGAATTTTTCAAACAGTCATCATCCACATCAAAATTTGACGTGTCTGTGGGACTGCTAACTTCAGGGATATAAGGTGCTTCACAATTTCTGATGTTGTCCCAATCGATGCCACCAAAGAATGGATGTTTCTTAAAGTCTTCAATCCCATGTTGACCCAGCCGGTGCTCCCTGCTACAGATCAGCCTCCGAATAAGATCTTTAGCATTTTCAGAAACATCGGTGATTTGCACTGGGAACTGAAATCGCTCCTGGTTGTTGGAGAGTTAAATACAGAAGTTAACCACATGCTTAGAAACAAGAGGCTTCCAGGTATTATTTCGTAAAGCATCAGAAATTACCAGACCTAAATCACCATTGACACTGTCCTTGATACAAATATAATATTTTTTGAACTGTTTCTTAAATTTTAGGGCAATCCTGAGGAAGTGGTAACTATCCAGTTCAAAATAGAAAGTAAAAATTCAGAGTGAAATATTCACCTTCTGCATTTCTGTTCATTATTCACCTGGCTTCCAGAGCCTTTACGTATACAAACCACAACAAGCAAAAAGTATTTTGAAACACAAAAGAAACACATTTATATAGTAATGTATTTATACACGCATCCATTCAGTTTCAATTTTCTTTTTGCTAGAACTAGACTGAGGAGGTGGAGACTGAGCAGTTGAGGAAGAAGGAATGGAGGGGAGAGGGGAAAGGGAGAAAACAGAGAACCAAATTAAAATGGGAAATGCTGGCATTGGATTGAGGGGCAGTTGGAAGGGAAGGGTGTGTTAACTAGTAGGAAAAGGAAGACTAGGAAAAGGAAGACGAGGGAAGATGGGAGCAAAGCAGTTCTTTTTTAAATTCATTTGTGGGATGTGGGCATTGCTGGCTGGTCAGCATTTATTGCCCGTCCCTAGTTGCCCTGGAGAAGGTAGTAATGAGCTGCCTTCTTGAACTACTGCAGTCCAACTGCTGTGGATTGAGCCAAAATGCCATAAGGGAGGGGATTCCAGAATTTTGACCCAGTGACAGTGAAACAACAGCGATATATTTGCAAGTCAGGATGGTGAGTGGCTTGGAGGTGAACTTGAAGGTGGTGGTGTTCCCATATATCTGTTGCACTTGTTCTTCTACATGGAAAAGTGGTCATGCGTTTGGAAGTGCTGCCTGAGGATCTTTGGTGAATTTCTGCAGTGCATCTTGCAGATAGTACCCACTGCTGCTACTGAGCATTGGTGGTGGAGGGAGTGAATGCTTGTGAATGTAGTGCCAATCAAGCGGGCTGATTTGTCCTCGATGGTGTCAAGCTTCTTGAGTGTTGTTGGGGCTGCACTCCCCACAAGCAAGAGGGGAGTATTCCATCACACTCCTGACTTGTGCCTTGTAGATGGTGAACAGGTTTTGGGAAGTCAGGAAGTGAGTTACTTGCTGCAGTATTCCTAGTCTCTGACCTGCTCTTGTAGCCACTATGTTTACGTGGTGTGTCCAGTCGAATTTCTGGTCAATGTGGGGTAAGGAAGAGAGACAGAAGAGCAGAAGGCATCTGCCAAAGTTTGCATGCTGAACCTTTCCTGCAAACTGTCATCGGAAATTGCAAACATCGTCAGGTGCCTTCCCCACCATACCTTTGCCACTTTCCACCCAACAGGACAAAATAAAGGAAATATGGAGATGGATGCAGAATTATACAGAAATACAAGGAGAAAAAACAACAAGGACAGAGCAGCAAAAAGACACAGGGAAGGAGAAAGATAATAAAACAGGCAAACACTCAGGAGAAAGAAAAAGAGAGAAGCTGCAGAATATCAAGAGAAAGAGAAGAGGCAATAAACACAGAGGTGACAGGGACTATGAAGAGACTGCATGTTCTGCCTTGGAATGAGCAATCGCATAATGATGCATTTGTGGTACTGAAGTTTATTGTGGTACACTTGTTATAAATATGACTCTGTCAAGTCTTTATTTCCTTCACAACATTGAATTTTTGTTGATTGTCAAATATGAATTTCCATTCATATATCGATGCCACCATTTAGACTGCATGTTCCATCTCTGTAACATTGCACAATTCTGCTCCACCTCAGCTGTTCTGCTGTTGTAACCCTCAGCAATGCCTCTGTAACTACCAGACTTGACTATTTTAGTGTATAGCTGGACAGTCCCCCATTTCTACCCTTCATGACTTGATGTCATTCCAAACTCTCTCATTCATTCATTATCCCTGTGCTCTTTGACTAACGCTGGTTCGTAGTTTTTCAATACCATAATTTTAAGAGCCTAGTCCTTGTTTTCAATTCTCTACGTGACCTCGTCCTGCCCTGTCTGTGTAATCTCCTACTGCTGCGCCATCCTTTGAAATGTGTGGGTTTCTCTAATTCTGGTGTCATAACCATCCCCACCTTTCTTCATCATTGGTAGTCTTACTTATAGCTGCCTAGGCTCTAGTTCATGGTTTCTATCCTTAAACCTCCTTCAAGATACTCTTTAAAACCTACCTCCTGGATCATGTATTTTGTCATCTGCCCTATAATCTCCTTTTGTTGCTCTGTGTCATATGGATTAATGAAGCACTAGGGAATTTTATCAAGTTAGGTGTTATATAAATATGTATTTTTGCTGTTCTTGTAGTCCAATTCACTGACCATATAGTATGAGAATAGGCCATTCTCCTGCCCGCTCTTTACAATCATCTTGGATCTCCTTTGCTGAATTCTAAAGTTTTCTAAATCCTCAGGCTTACAATGTTTTGGCAACTCTATACGACTCCTCCTGGATCTAATAAGATCTTTGAGCCTGCTCTGCCATTTTAGACCATAGCTGATCATCTACTTCACTGCCACATTTGCAAGTTATCCCCAAATCTCTTGATATTGTTAATAACACAAAATTCATCAATCTCTGTTTTGAATGCAATGACTGAGCCCACTGGGAAAGAGAATTCTGAAGATTCGACACACTCTAAATAAGGAAATTCCTTCTCATGTCAGTCCCAAATGGCTTACCTTTTACTCTTAAACTGGGGTTCTGGACCCCACAGGCAGACAAAATTTCCTTTCGGCATCTACTCCATCTATCCCTAGAAGAATTCTTTGAGTTTCTATTTCATTGCCTTTCATACTTTTAAACTCCAGAGAATATAGGCACAGTTTGCTCATTGGATAGTTCCACTATCCCAGAAATCAGTGTGATGAATCTCTGTTGCATTCCCACTGTGGCAAGCACATCCTTCCTTAAGCAAGGGGAACGGGAATGCACACAACACTTTACGTGCAGTCTCACCAATGTTTAATACAAAACAATACAAATACAAAACAAAACTTCTTCAAACCTGAACTCGAATCCTCTTGCAGTAAAGACTTACATTCTAATTGCCTTCTGAATCGCCTGTTACCCATGTATGCTGGCTTTCAGTGATTTAAGAACAGGGATACCTAGGTTTCTTTGGATATCAATACTTTTCAATCTCTTAATAAATACTCTGCACTTCCATTCTTCCCACCAAAATGGATAGTTTTCAATTGTCCACATTATATTGCAGGTGTCATGCTCTTGCTTACTCACTCAAGTCTACATAAATCCCCATGAAATCTCTTTGCATCTTGCTCGCAACATGCATTTCCCAAATTTTGTATTATCTACAGAGTTGAAAATATTGCCCTCAAATCCAAATCATTTGTGATAGATTCAGAACAGTTGATCCTTCTTATGCCCCACTGGTTGGTCACAGGCTGCCAACCTGAGAATGACTTATTTATTCCTAATCTCTGTTTTCTGCCTGTTAATTAATCTTCAATCCATAGTAATCCCATGAGTTTTAATTTTGTTTACTAACCTCCAATGAGAGACCTATTCAAAAGCCTTCTAAAAATCCAAATACACCATATTCCATGGGTCACCCTCATCAACTCTGCTAGCAACATCCTCAAAAATCTCTAACAGGTTTCTTCAAACATGAATACTGTTTCATTAATCCATACTGACCCCAGCCAATTAGATAATTATTTTCTATATATCCAGTAATCATATTCTTTATTATAGAGTCCATGTATATTTGCTATGATTAAAATTAAAAGGTTGCTCTCCCTTCTTTCTTAAGCAGTGGGGTTAAATTTGCAACCTTCTAATCTGCAGACATTGTTGCAGAATTACTAGAAATTTGAAAGATGATCACCAATATATCCACTGTCCCTGCAGCCATCTGTTAACACTCTAAGTGAAAATCATCAGGTCTTGAGAATCTGTTAACTTCCAGTCCCACTAATTTCTCCAAGATGACTTTATTTTTTATTGATAGTAATTTGTTTCAGCTCCAAACTCTCACTAGACCCTTGGATCTTAATTATTTTAGGGAGACTTCTTGTGTCTTCCTCTGTGGAGACACACACAAGGGGTACATTCTTTTTCCATTTCCAATTATAAATTCTTTAATAGACCCAATTTGTCTTTGCTAATCTTTCCTTTTTCATGCACCTACAGAAGATTTTACAATCTATTTTAATGTTTATTGCTATCTTCCGTACATATTTAATTTTCTTTTTCATTACAAACATTTTGGACCTCCTTTACTGAATTCTAAAATTTTCTAAATCTTAAGGCTTACATTATTTTTTGGCAACTGTAAGTTTCCTCCTGAGATCTAATAATATCTTTAACTTTTAAACTGTGGCCCTCTCACTTTGCCTTTTCGGTATTTGTGCCTGAATGAAAAATATGTTTTCTGAGAATTAAGCATTAATTCTTTAAATACTGGTCAAAGCCTATTCACTATCAAACCTTTAAATGTATCTTTCTAATGCACCACAGAGAACTTCCTCTTCATACCTTCAAAATTGCTCCTGTTTAGATTTAAGACCCTGCAGTAGCATAGTGGCTCAGTGGTTAGCACTGCTGCCCCACAGCACCAGAGACTCAGTTTTGATTCCAGCCTTGGGTGACTATGAGTTTGCATGTTCTTCCCTGGGTCTGTCACCACTCTTTCCTTGTGTGCACTTCTGCCATGAGCTCCAGTTTCCTTCCACAGTCCAACGTTGTGCAGGTTAGGTGGAATGGCCATGCTAAATTTCCTCGTAGTGTCCAGAGATGTTCAAGCTAGGTGAATTAGTCATGGGAAATGTGGGGATATAGGGATAGGGTGGGAGGGTGGGGCTGGCTCTGGGTGGGATGCTCTTCAGACGGTTGGTGCAGTCTCAATGGGCTAAAAGGCATTTTCTATGATTCTAGTTTCAGAATGAACTTCATATTTTACAAACTTACTGGACAATTCTATCAAACTATGCTCGCTATTTCCTACAACTAGGTTATTAATTAGCATTTCTTCAATGAATAATACTAGATCTTAAATAGTCTTTGACCTAGTTGCAAAAACAGAAAATGCTGGGAAAGCCCAACAGGTCTGGCAGCTGTGCAAAGAAAGCAGGGATAACATTTCAAGGCCAGTGACCCTTCTTCAGAACTGTCCTAGTTTGTTCCTCAACATTCAAACCTATCTCAAATGTATTTCAGGAAATCTTCCTTCTCAGACCCGAAATGTTAACTCTGCTTTTTCCTACACAGATGCTGCCAGACCTGTTGAGCTTTTCCAGCAACCTTGTTTTTGTTCCTCCACAGCATTGGTGCTCATTAGATTTACCTAGTTTACATGCAGATTGAAGTCACCTACTATTACTACATTCCCTTTGCTCTGTGCACCTCTAAGTTCATGATTTATGTCATGTACTAAATTACCATTACTGTTTGGTGGTCTATAAACCACTCCTACTCCTGTTGCCTCTTGCCATTTTCTTAGTTCAATTTCTAATCATTAGCATTTCTAGTTAGGTGATTCGACCATAATATAGATGGCTTCACTGCTACTTTCCTAGCTGTTTTTATTTTTTTTATGGTATGTGGGGGGGTCACTGGCTGGGCCAGCATTTATTTTGCATCCCAAGTTATTTTACGGAAGGTGATGGTGACTGCCTTCTTGAGCAGCTGCAGTCCATGTGAATAGGTATACCCACAGTGCTATTAGGAAGGGGAAAAGGAGGTTGCAACAAACAACTGGGTAACCACAAACATTTCAACAGTGCCATGCAAGGTGTAATGGTACGAAATCTTAAAGTTTTTATATGATGCATCTCACAATCAGAATTACTTACACTTTCCATCTCATGCTGCAAAAGGAATGTTGGTGTTAATTCCCTCTCCACCAAAACATACAAATTTCCATCCTGTCTCCAACTTGAGAACTGATATGCCAATCGAGTAATTTTTTTTGCTAAGCCTGTTCCTTCTCTGAACTTACAATACGTTTTGAAAAGGAAGAAACTTAAAGCAGAAGACAACATTTTAACATAATTTCCCATCCTTGTAAAGTAACATAGCTTTTAGAGAGATAGGTGTAGACCATTTAGCAGAATGCTTCCTTCCTAATAAAACAACACATCTTAGATTGCTAAGGAACCTTATTGGAACCAATCATGCCTATTGTCATCTAACAGGGGAAAAGATCGAAAATCACAGGTTTGGGGGCGAGAGATAGATTAAAGACACTCACTTTGTGGTTCATAATTTTTCCGTAGGTTTCTACTAAAGATTCCGCATAAAAAGGTGTTTCTCCAAAAAGCATTTCATACATGCAGACACCAAGTGACCACCAGTCGCATTCTGGCCCATACTTTCCTTTGCCATCTTCCATAGCCTGCAGGATTTCAGGAGAAATGTAGTCAGGTGTCCCAACTGCAACTGAAGACTGGACCTGTATCACAGAAATAAATGTTAGATTTCTTGGAATCAACCCAAACAACAATCAGGTCTCATCTCTCTTCCCAAACCCAAGTGTTCCCTCAGATTCTTTTTTCTGAAGTGCCTTTGTAAGACATTTTCCCAATACTTCTGGAGAGGACATTGAATATAAGCCTTCATCAAGTGCTAATGATTTTGAGCAGTTTCTGATGAGCCAGATGAAGGAAGTTCATTGACTCGTAATGTTAATTCTACTTCTCTGCCACAGGAACATACAAATTAGGAGGCGATAGCCTAGTGGTATTATTGCTGGATTGTTAATCCAGAGACCCGGATAATATTCTGGGAACCCAGGTTCGAATCCCGCCATGACAGATGGTGGAATTTGAATTCAATAAAATGCCTGAAATTAAGAATCTAATGATGACCATGAATCCATTGTAGATTGTCGGAAAAATCCACCTGGCTCACTAATGTCCTTTAGGGAAGGAAATTGCCATCCTTACCTGGTCTGGCCTACATGTGACTCCAGACCCACAACAACATGGCCTGCTCTGAACTGCACTCTAGGCAATTAGGGATGGACAATAAATGCTGCCTAGCCAGTGACGTCTTCATCCCGTTAATGAATAAAGGAGAAAAAAGGAGCAGCAGTAAGCTGCTTGGTCCCTCGAGCTATTTGATAACATCATATCTACCACTGTCTTAAATGGGTGACCCATTATTTTTAAACACTGAGCCCAAGTCCCTGAATTGTACCCAGGAATAAAGATTCTCTCTCTTCAGGATCGCATCTGTTTCACTCAAGGCACCTCTTATTCTTCTATCATCCAGGAGATACAAGCCAGATCTGTGCAACCTTTCCTCACAAGACAACCCATTCATTCCAGGTATTAGTCTAGCAAACATCTGAACTGCTTTCAACACAATTACATTCTTTCTCAGAGATGGAAACCAATATTATACACAATATTCCAGATACTGTCTTACCGATGCCCTATAAAAACTGAAATATAGCCTGCATACTTTTGTATTCAATTCCACTTGCAATAAACTATAACATTCTATTAGCTTTCCTCATCATTTACTGCACCCACATACTAATCTTTTTGTGATTCCTTTAGGACATGCAGATCCCTCCATTCAGATTTGTACAATTTCTCACCATTTAAATGAAATTTGTTTTTACTCTGAAATGGACAATTTCACACTTTTCCAAACTATACTCATTTTTTGAGGTCTTTGCCCACTCATCTAACTTATCCCTTTTGTAGCTTCCTCATTTGTCCTCTCACCTTACTTTCTGAACTATCTTGTGTCACTAGCAAATTTAACAATCACACCTTTGGCCCATCGTCCAACTTAATTATATAAATTGTAAAAAGTTGAGGACCAACATGATCATTTCAGCACACCATTCATTACATTTTACCAACTAGAAAATGACATTTTATGTCTACTTTCTGCTTCCTGTCTTTCTTCTCACTAATTTTCTATCCATGCCGATATGTTAGCCTCTACAACATATGTTTTTATTTTCCAAAATAACTTTTCATGTGGCATCTCATCAAATCATCTCGCTGGTTAGCACTGCTGCCTCACAACACCAGGATTTGATTCCAGCCTCGGGTGACTGTCTATGCGAAGCCTGCACATTCTCCCCGTCTTTGCATGGGTTTCCTCCGGGTGCTCCCGTTTCCTCCTACAGTCCAAAGATGTGCAGGTTAGGTGGACTGGCCATGTTAAATTGCCCGTAGTGTCCAGGGATGTGCAGGGTTACAGGGATAGGGTAGAGGAATGTGTCTGGTTGGGATGCTCTTTGGAGGGTTGGCATAGAGTCAATGGGCCAAATGGCCTGAGTCCATACTTTAGGGATTCTATGATTGTATGAAATGCCTTCTGGAAATCTAAGAACATATGCCCACCAGTTCTCCTTTATCCAGAACACATTACATCCTTAAAGAATTCCAATAAATTGGATAAACATGACTGTTCTTTTCTCAAAATTGTGTTGACTTTATTTGATTACATCAAACTTTTCTAAATGCTGCGTTACAACTCAATTATTACTAGCTTCTAACATCTTCCTTATGACAGATGTTGATCTAACTAGCCTGCAGCGTCCTGCTTTTTATCTTCTTTTTGCAATTAAAGGAGTTACCTACTTTTCAATTTAACAGGACCATTTATGAACAAGCATAGGAAATTCTGCAGCATTAAAATCAATGCATCATCATCTTACAAGCCACTTCTTCTAACTCCCCAGGATAAAGTCCTTCATGACCTGGGAATTGTCAGCTTGCTAGTCTGAATATTTGCTCAGTACCACTTCCCTCATGCTTGTAATTTTCTTGGTTCATCCATCCCTTCCACTTCCTGATTTACAGATATTTCTGAGATGTTGCTTGTATCTTCTACAGTGAAAACCAATGCAAAAATCTATCTAATTTAGCTGTTATCTCCTAATTTTCAACAACTTGTCAGATCCACTTTCTGTATGATCCATGTTCACTTTAACTCAATTATTTTCCTTTTCAATCATTTATAGAAACTCTTGCTATCTGTCTTTATATATCAAATTAGCTTTCTCTTATTAATCTTTTAGCCAATCTTCACTTATTTTTAATATTGTGCTAATGTTTTAATGTGCCATCCATCTTTGTACAAAACATTTTCCTTTAAGTTTGATGCTATCTTGCATTTTACTTGAGTGAACCACAGATTGTGGAATTTTCCTACTTGTCGGAATACATCTGTTTTCCCCTTAAAATAAGTATCACTGTATCACTAATGATTATCACTTAATCTAATTTGCCCTTCACAGTTGTTGCAGAATCAGCTAAGTTTACCGCCCAAATTCTAAACACTAACCCCAATAACCACCTTTCTAGATGGCATTCACCATTATTTAGAAACAATGACTAAACTCTTCATTTCATTGTACCATCTAATCATGGTTAAACAAAGAGACTGTGAAATGATTATACACAGGATTTATAATGTTAACAAGTTGCATATGTTACTCATACTCCAAGTAGACAAATTATCCAAAAGAGAAGATTTGGGAAAAAAAGACTAAAAAAGACCGGCACAGTAGAATATTGTAAGTGAAAGGCAGAATTGTTTTATCCACTCATGGAATTTGGGCATCACTAGCTGGGCCAGTATTTATCGCCCATCTCCAGCTGCCCATGAGAAAGTTGGGGTAGTGAGCTGCCTTCTTGAACTGCTGCAGACCATGTGCTCTAGCTGACCCACAATGTTAGGGAAGGAGTTCCAGAATTTTGGCCCAATGACAGTGGAGGAACACCACTTGGAGGGGAATTTGCAAGTCGGGATATTCCCACATATCTGCTGCCTCTGTACTTAGAACATAGAACAGTACAGCACAGTACAGGCCCTTCGGCCCACAATGTTGTGCCGACCTATTATCTTACTCTAAGATCAAACTACCCTGCATACCCTGCAAACTACCTTGGCATAGAGTCAATGGGCCGAATGGCCTGAGTCCATACTTTAGGGATTCTATGATTGTATGAAATGCCTTCTGGAAATCTAAGAACATATGCCCACCAGTTCCCCTGGTGGATAGGCATCCATGTGCCTATCCAAGAGTTGCTTAAATGTCCCTAATGTATCTGACTCCACTACCACCGCCGGCAGCGCATTCCACGTACCCACCACTCTCTGTGTAAAGAAGGATGGTAGTGGTCATAGGTTTGGAAGGTGCTGTTGTCTTCCTGAATCTCTGTAGTGCATTTTAATGGTATACACTGCTGGTACTGAGTGTTGATGGTAGAGGGAGTGAAAAATTGTGAATATGGTGTCAATTCAATGATGCTGCTTTGTCCTGGATGGTGTCAAGCTTCTTTAGTGTTGTTGATGCTGCACTCATCCAAGTGGGGAGCATTCCATCACAGTCCTTGCTTCTGCCTTGTAAATGGTGGCTATGCATTGGGGAATCAGGAAGTGATTTAGTTTCTGCAGAATACCTAGCCTCTGATCTGCTCTTATCGTCACTGTGTTCATTTGACTAACCCAGCTCAGTTTCTGGTCAATGGTAATCTCCAAAATATTGATAATAGAGGATTCAGCAAGGGCGATGCCACTGAATCACAAGGGCAATGGTGAGTTAGCATCAGAGTAGAAGGAAAGTCAATTTTCCTACTCCACTGATGCTGCCTGACCTGCTGTGTTCCTCCAGCTCCATACTGTGTTGACTCTGACTCCAGCATTTGTAGACAACAAGGTGCAGGGCTGGATGAACACAGCAGGCCAAGCAGCATCATAGGAGCAGAAAGGCTGACGTTTCGGGCCTAGACCCTTCATCAGAAAAGGGTCTTTTCTGATGAAG